AGAAAGAGCAATGAACTGATGGTAGAAGTTGTCCGCTAATCTCTACGCATTTTGTGCGGTCGAAATCGCAAGGGTAACGTTTATTTAGGGGCTACCACTCTCCAGACGCTGTCTTTCAAAGGCTTTTGAAAAAAAACCGTTAAACTAATCTTTGTTCTTCTACGTGTAACAGAATCGAGGTGACGGGTCGAACCACAAACGGTCATTCACTGCTGTAACTTGCGCGAATCAATCAATTAATTAACCATATTCGTAAGGAAATAGTTGGTGATGCTTCAAGCTTATTTGAAGAGAATATTTTGAACGTAAAATAGGTATTTATGTGAATGGGAAATAAATGAACGATCTGGCTAATTCTTCCTTTCTTTTTTGTTTACTTCAAAATGTGAATTTTAGGAAGCAGGGAACATGCGTCATCATTCAGATAGTTCCCATCAAGCCAGAGATTGTTTCCGAATATTTAGGTTGTTGTGGGGACAATGTCTTGATCGGATGCTTTACTTCCCATGAGTTTTTGAACTCTGTATGCAGTGCGTAAGGTTTTATCCAGTACAGACTAGCAGTATGTCGTGACGTGGTACGGTACCTTAGTACAGCCTCAGCATGTTTTGCCTGCTGTCGACTGGCACGTGTTCCCTTTAATTCGCATAATACCCAATTCTATGATATTCAAAAACAGAGATAAGGTGGAAATTTTGCTTGCATTTGATTCATAATCTAAGTAAGTTTGCTTTTGTATAGGACTATTGGAATTAATAATTGCTCTTACACAGCTTTCTGTAATGGAGATGAAGAGACATGGAAGGATAAAGCCTTGGAAGTCGATTCAGTGAATTATCACTTTTAATAACCTTTTAACCTACATTATTTGATTTTTTATTTTCGTTTGATCCACGTATGTGAGATTCAGTGCTTCTGAGCAAAGAGTTCGATCATGTCTGTTGCAATCTACATTCGCAGAGAGCTATATAGCTAAAGAAGAAAGTATTACAAATCATTTTTGTGGTGCGGCCATGTTGAATTTGCGACTATCACTTGACATTGCGGTCACATCATTGTTCATGTACCTAATTGTTGACTGTATTAGTGAATGCGAGAGCAAGAGAGCAGAGAGACTGAGCTTTACTGAGAGTAAAAGTCAATTCCAGTTGCTCATCAAATGTTGTCCTCAATTTCGTCGAGATTTCGATAGGAAGCTTGGACGGAAATGGCGGTGCCATTATTGCGGAAATGTTCCAGAGAGTGGGCAGGTTCCTGCATAAGAATGTGACTTAGTAAGGGGCAATGAGGAATGTCAGCTATAAAGTGCTGCTTTTTACAATACATCACATAAGTTTTCTCCAAAGCCCAGTCGTTCCTTTAGCGCTTGAAACATGTGATCTATGTAAGAAGAGACAACGAATTGACAAAGATTGAGCAAAAGTTGCAAACAATTATCGGGTCAAGACATCGATTACTATTAAAGAAGCTTGTATTGCTTACCAGTTCCATGGCATATCCAGTCTAGGTATCTTCGTACATCCATGAAGCTGCCTCCAACTAAAAAAAAATGTGAAACTTACATCATTTTATCTTGGCTAAATGAGGTGAGCTTGAGGCTTTTGATTTTGAAACTTATTGCCTATTTTTGCGTGAATCCCTTAACTACAGACTTAAACTCGCTTCCGACAAGCGAAAGCAAAGGCAGGATAGAATAG